TGTGGAAAAGATGGACACAAGAGTTGAGAAAAGTAAAAATATACGACCAAACGGACTTTAAAGGCTACGTCAAATAAGTTAGAAATATTCAGTAAACTCGCTATTTGAATAAATTTTTCGTACGATTTTAACCGTTTTATTAAGAGCTTTCTATTTTTTTTAAAGTTTTTTTTTTTTTTTCAAAACCCCCCCCCCCCCCCTCCCCGCGTATTATTCTCAGATGCCTTTTATAATAAGAAAAATCTTTACACTTTGATCTCCTGTAATGATTTCATGCTTCGCGCTTACGGAGAGTTTTTGAAAAGTCTACAATTATACGGTTAAAAGTTCCTGCAATTAATAAACCAAAGATCGTGTAAGCGTTAAATGTAAAAGTTACATTGTTTAATAGCTTAGCGCACTTGCGCCTTCGTGTTGAAGCGTTAACAAATAATAATTATATTTTTCATTGTTTGCGTGAAGATGGGCCGTAAAGCCTTATGAAAATTAATAATAATCTTTTTTACTGTTTCACGAAAGTCGGTGGTTTCTTCCTTCCAGCTAATTTATCATTTCTTATTTATAAGCATTACACATTCTCGGAAATAGTATCACGCATGCCTAAAGAACAATTGCCTGCTGGGTTAGTGAAGATAAAGTAGGTAATTCCAAGGGGCTCTACATGTACATTAATTTTATTCTTTAGAATGTATTTTGTTTAGCTTGGAAGCTCAACTTTACTTCATATTTTCTTCACTTTCGAGTTTCTACATTCATCTTTAGTCGAAGTTATATTTTTGTAGTTTGACCTCGTTATGATTTTATGTCGAGCATTTTATAACCGAGGTCTTGAGAATCTATAATTAAATTGCTATGAATTCCATATTTCAAGAGGTTAATGTACCGCAAATCTTCAGCAGAATGCACATCATTGTTAATAGAGATGTTTCGCTTCTGATTCAATTACAAACACATTAATTCATACAAACATCTAAACATATTTAACAATATATATATATATATATATATATATACTTTCAATAATAATAGTTAAACCAATGATATTTAAGTTTTTAATAACGGGGGAGGATAAAGAGTTAATTCTAAAAAGTCTAAGGAGAATTGTACATTATTATCTACCGACAGATTTAAAACAAAGTAATAATTCTCGTTTAAAATCTACCAGCTCAATCTGATTATCCTAATTTACTTCCCAGCTATCTTTCATAAAAATAATAATTTCCCGTCTCTATTGTAGTATTCATTTTCCTTTATAAAATGCTTTACAATGAAATTTCTGTTCATTCTCGTGAATGCCATATTGCTTTATGCAGTTTTAATTAACTAATTTGATGTGCTTTTTAGTTCTTTCATCATGCCCATTTGCAATCTTCTTCCAAGGCACTTGTTTAAGTAAATATTTTATATTTTTTAGTTACGGGCATCTATTTGTTTTTTTTTTTTTTTTTTTTTTTTTTTCATTTTAAGAGGATTTCCTTGCTTTTACTGCTAATGGAACAAGCTTCTTCGTAGGAGTACTTGATACTGAATTAAGGAAAATTTAAATATTACCTAATATTAGAAGCTTTAATATACAATTTATTAGAGTGAAAAAATTTGAGTTACTTTTCGCTTGATAATGTAAGCAACAACAACAACAAAATAATAATAATCTATGAAAAACGTACATAAGAAATTCAGCAAAATGAATCTGAATAGATATTTTAAAATAAGTAAGGTACATAAAAAAAAGTTACGTAAGATATGCTTTATTGCCACCTTAAACTTCAGAATTTATTAGTGGGTTATAAATAATAGAAACTTGAATAGTTAACAAGTCTTATACGACGCGTGTGTAAAAAAATATTATATATGTAATGTAATTCACACGGTTAAGAAAGTATTACGTTTTTACATTTTTATAATTAAATTACACGCATTATATCATTGAATGAAGAAAATGTTTCTTAAATTACTCACTTTATTCAACGTTAAAAACATTTCATTTTATCACAATATTTATATTAAGTATTTAAGTGAATTTTTAACGATTTAACTCTATAAGGAGATAAGTGATTATTTTAGATATAAACCAAAAAACAAAACAAAAAGAAAACATCAAGATTATTGTGTAAAGTATAAACTTTTTATTTAATATGGTCTATAAATTTTAAAGACTTCGTGTTATAATCAACATTTTGCACATCAATCATTCAGTAAGTAACTACCGAAAAGAGATTAGTCCTTGGATTATAACTTTCTCGTTTTCTGTACTGCTCATACTGCTCTGAGCATTCTGAATAAATTAATTATATAGCAAAAATAATATGTATTGCCCTTTAAATTATTATCAAAATAATTAATCGACGCTTTTAGTGGTGGGTTAAAAAAAAAAAAAAAAAAAAAAAAAAAAAAAAAAAAAAAAAAAAAAACCAACAACAACAATGAAGTGCAACAGGACGTTCAAGGCTGGCGTATTTGACTTTAATGTGGAAATGTAGCTTGAAGTATTATGCAGCATTTTGTATATTTAAATGTTAATCAAGATTTAATCTGCAATTCGTATATCATCCTATTATTATCGGCCGTATTATTTCCAACGCTATTTCATGCGCCCGTAATCCTTTATATCATCGCACATGTTATATGTGCGATGTTACATCGTTGTCTTTTTTTTTTTTTTTTTTTTTTTTTTTTTTTTTTTTAACCGACGCCACCTCCCCCCTCTCCGCTCTCCGCCTTTTTTTTTTCTAAAGTAAAGAGCGTGAAAATCATACTCATAATAGTAATGTAATAGCCGATAAGAAGATGAAAATAAAAGAAAACGAAAAAGAATGAGCATAATTTGTAGCCCGAGAATGTATAAATTGCTTTAAATGCACGAGATGCCTAATTAATTACAGCCAATTACAAAAACAAAAGTCTCGTCGGAAGCGAAAGAAAATACTTTAATCTAGTTCTCCCCAGTATCTCGCACCCTCTTAATCAAGGCCAGCAAACGCAACATTTATTCGCCTGCTCGAATTCGTCGTAATCCTTAACAGCACAAGCACGCTCGGATAAATAATATTCATTCGCTAGTGTCTACCTTCCCTCGCTCTCCTCCTCCTCCTCCTCTCCTTCCCTTCCCTCCCCTCCTCCCCCCGGTCGATCTCATCCCATAGAGCAACTGACTTTCTCTAAGGCCGCCTCGGCGAACCCTCGGATCGCCCGCCAATTTGGGTGCGTTGACGGCTGTTATCATTAATCCCCGGCACTTCTTGACTTTATCCAACCCGTTTCCTCATCCGAGCCTCTCGTTTTCCAGCCTCGAAGAAGCCGCCACTATGGCTTGTACTTTCGCGAGGCTTTAATTGCCGACATTAGCTTGCGCAACCTACTCCTTCAAAGGCTAACGGTCGAAAGCCCAACGGATTGCGCGCGAGACCTTGCTGATTGATAAGATAAGATGGAATTTAAAAATTGTCAGCAGTGCGCTCCTCTCTACTCGGATTCTACCTAGAATTTATAGCGAGTACAATGCCGTTTTTATTCGGCAGATGCTGCGTGGCCGACGACGCTTGAAGGCGCAAAGACGTTTGTTTACGAGCAGTGACGAGAGCTTAATCGTCTTACCATCGAACGATTCGCGCGCAATTTATCCTCGGGCTTTTTTCTTTTCTTTCCTTACTCGCGCGCAATTTATCCTCGGGCTTTTTTCTTTTTTTTGTTTTTTGTTTTTTTGTTTTTTTGTTTTTTGTTTTTTTTTGTCTTTTGTTTTTTTTTGTTTTTTTTTTTGCTTTTTTTTTATTCCTTTCTTTCTTTCTTTCTTACTTTTTACCTTTTTTCTAATTTTTATCAATGCTACATTAGCATTTATCGCTACGGCTCGTGATTATGGCGTATTTGACTTGCTGGCTACCGATAACGATGATGTTAATTCCAATATGTAATAGTTTACGAAGCATTCCAAAGATAAAGCTTCGAGCCATCAAAATAAATAGTATATAATATTTTTGCGTTACTCGGTGTATCAAAACTCTTTATTTCAACTGAATGTAACATAATAGCAGCTGCTTTTATAGATGAATAAATTTTCTGCGACATTTCTTAGCTAAATTATAATTGAATATCCTCGCGAGCACTTAGCACGAGAGTATTCGATCGGGATTTGTTCTTATAAAAATTTATGGCGCGTGTAGGCTTGGCTCGATAAAAAAATTAATGCCAGCTTATTTAGTCCTGAAGTAAAATTTACAAATAAACTTTCAAGTTCCTATATCATTAGCAATGTCATTTAAATGCCGTACACGTGTTAGTGATTCGTCAATATTTATAACTCGACGAGGCCTAAGATAACAATCGATTTAACACATAAAATACATTTATTTTAATTAAATCAAGTCAAGAGTGGCTCTCGGAATTAGATAACACATATGTTGTTGAGACAAACTCTCTACGTGTAGCTACATGATAATTTATTTGGTAATCGAACATTTAACAAACAGTTTTTTGCGTAAAGCGAAATAATTTGCAAATTCTTGTGACATTCCATGCAAAAATTGCGATCAATCTCCACGACCCACGAGCTTCTATTGCGAATTGGATTTATTTTTACACTCCGTTTTTTTCATCTCATTTTTTCTCGTACCCCCTCCCCAACCCTATTCCTTTACTTTTTCATTTTTTTCACCTTTATATTTACGACTGCTCCAACTTTTGTAGACAAGTTGTCGAGACTGTCAAAAGCTATGGAAACTATACATCCAGAGAGCCTAGAGAGCGACCATTAACGCGAATTTCGAAATACCGATTCGGCTTTTGCGCTCTCTCTCTCTCTCTCTCTCTCTCTCTAGCCGGCTGGACCTCTCGGCACAAAGACCCCCGAAGGTCGGAGGTCGGCCGTGTGTCGGAGCGACCGGCCACCGGAAGCGTATATGCACAGGAACCCGACGGCACCTTCCAAGCCGTCGCGGCCACCTCACTCGCTTCCCTCTCACTCGCAGCCGCACTAATCAACCGTCTCTTTCTTAACCTTGCAGAGGGCCTCAAAAAGAAGAAGCGGAAGCTCAGCGCCGTGAGTGGCCTGTACTCGGGCGTCTCGGTGTCGCAGCTCCTAGCGCAGCGGGAGCGCGTCATCGCGGCGGCCGTCGCGGCAAATCCAGCGGGCCACGGAGGTAGCAATGCCACGGCCCAGATGCCCGGATCGTCCTCGCTGTCTAATGGATCCCAGGTAAATAAATCACGCCCATTTGCCCATTACTAACTTCCCATCGAGCGGGGCCTTTAAGTGGCCGATAGAGCGACGGCGGGGCCGTCTCCCGGCTTTTTATCCTCGCTCTTAACTAGCGATTTTGGCTCCGATGTCGGACTCGATTGTATTTAATGGAGGCTGTCCGGGTACTTTTCTTAATAAAGTTTTGCCGGGACATTGGTTTTTCAAGTTGATAAAAGCCTTTTTTATTTTGCCCCTTTATGTGACTTTGATTTTAGAAGGCCATTTGGCAAGTTTGACAATAATAAAGTTTTCACCACAGCACCATGAAATTGAAAAGCAATTTTCTCTTTATAATAAATTACGTATTCCCATTCAATAATTGTATTCGGAAGAGTGTCTATTTTTTTTTCTTTTTTCTTTTTTCTTTTTTCTTTTTTTTCTTTTGAATTCTAGAGCTATAAATTGCTGGCTTTTATAACGGCGACTTTCACGAGATATCGAATGATGAAAGATAAATACTCGTCCGAAGCGCTTGAAATTTCACTTACTTTTAAATTTGCGAGGATTTAGTGCTGCACTTGGCGGGAAATAGTCTAAATTAAAATACATATTTACCAAATCGATAAATTATTATCGTTGAATTAAATGAAGTGGTGATCAATTTTCCCTTTATAATTCGATTATAATGGACGGAGCAATCTCCTTTAAAACATCGATACCTTCATTTTTAACTTTAATTTCTCATTTAGCCTGTGCAATCAATGCATATTTAAAGATTCAATTCAAGAGTAAAGAGAGCCGGGCGAGCTTTTTTCTTTCCCTCTATTTTTTTTTTTCGTTCTTCTTTTCTTTCTTTCATCCTTTCATTCGTTTTTTCGTCCTCTTTTTTCTTCATTTTTCTATTTTCTTTTTTATTCGACTCCTCTTTAGTTGTTCGATTCGCTTGGGAAATGGTAAAGTTCTACATTCGGTTCGACGGGTGGAATTAAAATCAGGTTTCAGTGTGACTGGTTTTGATTGGAAAGTTGATTCAATATTTGATGGATGAAAATATGATGTACTTTAGTCGTGGACATTCCGTTTGACTTGAAGGAATCGTTATGTTATGACGTCTTAATTACAGAAATCAGGGGATCGTTCCAATTTGAGTAATGGAAATTTTATTGATTCGAATTGTGAAAAAATATCAATCATATTAATGGTATTATATCGTTGAATTTCTACAATTTGCGGAATTTTACTGATTTACATACTATTATTATTATTATTATTATTATTATTATTATTATTATTACGAGAGATTGATTAAATATTAAATATTTTTTTTCTTCAATGTAAGTATGTTATAAAGTGTGAAATGATCTAGCGATTCATTTGCTCATTGAAATTTAAATTAATGCTAATTTTCATTCGTATTACTATAATTTATCTTGTACTCCATTTCTTAATTATACGTTGCCGGCATCATTTCATTAATCAAACTATATTTACTGCCTTGTTTAAAAACACACGCGCGCGCGCACGCATGCACGCACGCCTTTATTCATACAAATAATTGAGAAATCACATGTTTTTATAAGCTACAAAATATTAGCTTTAAAATATTATGTTATAATTTTACTATACCACGAATTTCTAATTGATTTCACTACTCATTATTATGCGAGGAAAACTAATATAAACGTATCTAATTGAAGCTCATTACTTATAACTTAACACTAATCGCTTGATAATCTTATGACTAAAAAAATTATCATAATCCAATTTGTCAATCAATTTTCTATATTATTATAATCGAGCCAATGGAGATTAAATATGTTGTTGTTAAATTCAGAATAAATTAATTGCTATTTACTTGTCGCAATAATATATTAACTCCAATTGATTAACTTTACGGATGTATGTAAATTTATGATTTGTAAAATTTAGATGTGGCCCGTCACCGTATCGAACCTCTCTGGAAACATGGCGCTTCAACAACAGCCCCAACAACAACAACAGCAGCAGCAGCAACAGCAATTGTTGCAGCACCAACAAACTCTTAATTCACAACTGGCATCTAATCAGCAAGTTCAGCGGCTAAACAATTCTCACGGCATGACAACTACGGCCGGCGGCATGCTAATGGGAAATCAGTTGATCATGAATCAACAGGCTACAAACTTTGGCAATATTGTACATCAGCAGCAACAGCAACAACAGCAACAGCAGCAGGTTCAGCAAGTACAGCAAATTCAGCAAATGGCAAATCAACAAATGCAGCAGGACCAAACTCAAGAACAGCTCCTTTACCAGCAACAAATGCAACAGCTTCAGCAGATGCAACTTCTGCAACAGCAGGATCAGCAGCAACAACAGCAGCAACAACAACAACAACAACAACAACAAAATCGATTATTGGCAAATCAAATGCAACAGGTCCAGCAACAGCAGCAAACTAATTATCAGTTGAATCAGCAGCCATTGCATATTATGCAGCAGCAACAACCTCAACAGCATCAGCCGCAGATGAATCAACAACAATTCCACATACAGCCTATGCAAAAGCAACACGGCGTGCAGCAGCAGAATATTGTCGGGGATATTGATCAGCAACAACAGCAGTTGATCGCCAACTATGGCCATCAGCAGACGCAACAAGATGCTTTCATCAATCAAGTACAGGTTGCGCAAAATCAGCAACCTCAGATTCATCCGCAACTTCAGCAGCTACACCAGCAGCAACTTCAACAACAGCAGGTACATCATTATGGATTATTATTATTATTATTATTATTATTATTATTATTATTATTATTAGTATTTTAATTTTCATAAAAATTCGAAAAAATCGGTCATAATTATTCAATTTTAAATGCTTACATTCTCTTTACTTCTAGTTATATATTTTCGTATTTCAATTGCATATAGGCTAGAAATTATTTTATGCGATTATCATCAAAATGATGAACTACGAAGCATTAAAATCAATATTAAAATGTCTTTGGTTATTTGGTTATTATTCAAAATAAAAATAAAACATCATTTTACTTTTTAGGTTAATCAACAATTGCTACAGCAAGCCGAACAATTCCAGTTGCAACTCCAACAGCAGCAGCAACAGCAGCAGCAACAGCAGCAGCAAATTGTACAATCTTGCGGACAAACGCAATATCAAACGCAAATGCTAAATAATCCTGTTGATACGCTACAGCAAAATGGCCTGACCGTCATGAACGACTTAAACGAGCTCCAACTACGGCAGCAACAGAGATCCGTTGAGGAATTTGCCCTCAAACAGCAACAGCAGCAACAGCAGCAACAGCAGCAACAGCAACAACAACAGCAACAACAACAACAACAGCAACAACAATTGCTCTTACAAAATCAGAATATGCAAAGGCATAACGTATTACAAACGAATAATCAGTATCCACAAAATCAGATATCTTATCAAATGAGAAACTTTGAACCGGCCAAAACAACTATTCAACAATATCAAACGACGCAGCCGTTGCATCAGAATCAAAACGTTCATTTCAATACACGAACGCCACCCTGGCAACAGCAACAGCAGCAACAGCAACAGCAACAGCAACAACAGCAACAACAACAGAATAACAACCGAACGATAAATATAAACCAGGTGCAAAATATAAATTGTAATGATTTTGATCGCGTGCCGCCACTGCATCATCATATACCTCAGGATAACGTTTGGACAGAGGAGGTTGCCAGGAAGAAGGCGAAAACCGTGAAAAATTCATATAAGAAACAGAGACAACATGCAAACTCGATTGAGTTGAGGAGTATAAACAATGTGAACAACAATGGCCTCGATCAGGGTATATCCGGTGATGAGTTCTCTGATAAAATAAATTCACAGTCTGGTAAGATTTTTGAAAACATTGTTATTATTATTTTCTTTTCTTTTTTTTCCTTTTGTTTATTTTTTACTTCTATTTCATATAATAAATCTAATTCTACAATCGATGCATTCTCTTTTTATATTCGCCCTCTACAACGCAATAAGTAAATCTTTCATTCTATTCCAACATTTTGATATGGGAAAGAAAAACGGTTAAATTTGCTTTATATTAAAAATATATTTACAATAGCGCGGTTTGGTATTTTTTTATCTGTAAAGAAACAAACACAAACGCCTCGGATACTTTGGCTGGAAACAACCTGTTTAAATTATTTTTGTGAAGAGCTAGAGTGAGAGAGCGAGGGGGGGGGGGTAAAAAGAAGAAACTTGCTAACATTTATCGCCTCTACTCCAAACTTCGTCGTAATTTATTCGAATCGTTAAGCAGCGCTAAAGTGATTGAAAATTTGCGCGTCTTCCGAAATCCAGCGAATTGTCTAACAGACAATCCGTCAAGAAAGAAACGAATGCCCCCATGGCTCTATAAAACTCCAAGGAAGCTCAATCTCATGTCGCGCGCATACCATAAAACGCCTCTGGCTCGCAATAAAATGCAAATCTTCCTCCCCAGGTCCCTCCTTCCTGGACGATCCTAGCGGCTACCTCGCGCAGCAGACTGCCCTCCTGAATAGCACCATATCGCGTCAGACTGGCGTCACGAGCTCGCAGCAGCCACAGCCGACGTCGCTCATCGGCAAGGCCAACGGCATGCAACAGTTCCAGCAGGCCAACGCCGTCTATCTTCCGCAACCAAAGCCTTCCTCGCTCGCTAGTCCCTCGTCCTTGTACAGCAACGGCAGCAAAAACAACCCGACCTCGCCGGTCTTCGTGCACAGCTCGATGACTCCCAACTCGGCCAGCAGTGCCACGGACTCCGAAGGCGGCAGTCCAATGTCGTGCCAGAGATGCGTCACCAGCGCCGACACGCAGTCCTTATCTTCCTCTACCTCGACGCAGGATTCCTACAAACAACGAAACGAAGTAAGTATACATGGATTTATCCTTTTATCTATACTTGCGAATAAACATAGCGAGTATCCGAAGGATATTATCAAGGATCTTAATTTAAACGGTGCACCTTCAATATCGCATGGGGAGAGTATCACCGTATTGCCTTATTGACCGTGTTCTTAACTAACCTAAGCCGCTTGATGATCGTGACGATGTTGACGTAAAATCGAAGCTCATCGGCGCTTCGACGACCAGATATTGAACCGTTCGAGGGCATCGGTGG